GTAAGTGCTGTAGTTTAGATCAACGGTGAACAGATCACGCATTTGCCCTTGGGGGGGTGAAGGGTGGCAAATCTTAGACCGGGGTCCACTGTTTTTAAGCCAGTCTGTGTGTGTCACACTTCTGGTCTGTTAAGGGTACAGACTGGTTTCCAATCACTTATACTAGTACAAATGTTATGCCTGTACCTGGCCAAGGTTTCAAAAGATGTGAGAATGCATATAAGCTTTCCCACCCTACCTCTCAAACATGCACAGCATCAAAATTAAGATACCTTTTTCTGAACAGCAAAAATACATATCATTATATATTGGGAGGTTAACATGAGGGATGGATTTTTTCCCCTGCAAGAGAAATCACGTGAGTGCATTTTTAGTTTTCCAGCAGTATTCACTACTCAGCTGTTGAACTTCAAGTTAATGGATGCAAATACATATTCAGAGCTGGTCAGCCCCAGTCTAACATGTTATTTCCTTTACCTTAATTTCAGTTTTGAGCTTTTCATAGTTGACATCAATTGGGTCTTTATCCCCATCCTCGTTTCCACCTCTGAGAAGGCTGTAAGCAACCTCAATATCAAGCAGGTTGTCCAACATCTGCACTTTGGCCTGGATAATATGAAGAGGTAAAAAAAAAATGTTTACCCTAGGACATTATGGTGAAGTTTCTAAACACAGCAAATCATTAATTCTATCTTGGTATAGGTACACCTTTTAATGTACATCAAAAGGCACCCCCCGTTTACACTGATTTCAGAAAAGGAGTATGTGGTTTCTGTTAAGTCCAGCAAACAAAACAGGCCTAGCACATGTTATGAAGCTCACTAACAGGTCCCAAGGAAGGAACAGGTCCCAGAAGCCTTCCCCACAAATACTGTGCTGCTAGCCACAGAAAGTTTAAGTTTCAGGGCCAGACACATCTAGAGCCATCTGACAGACTGTAGTCCCTCTGGTGGCTCACAGAGAGAAAAACAACTCCTCAGGTAAGCAGGTCCAGTGTGTGAAACCATAAGTCACTGGTGTTTAGGATGGACTGATGCATGAACCATACTATATGATTTGCTCTGCCTCCTTCAAGGAAAACCTCTCAAGCTTTTCTGATTTCCACAAAGCTAAGTTAAGCGATGGCACTTTCCCCCCTTCCATTAGGTTTTACAACTATTACATTATCTCAAGTAGATCCTTTGGCAGTGATATCAAAAGAACAAGAGGGAATTAAGGTGCTGAGAACAAGTGTAAGCTTGGATACCTAAGAAGGTAGGAGGCTGCTTGCTGAATACAGGAGCTTAAATAAGAAGAGCTGATCTTCAGAGCTCCCCAAAATTTCAACTTGATCTGTGAGTCCTCAGCATGGGTGGAGGAAGAGTCACTTATGATAAGTACATAGGAATTCATTTATATTTAGGCATCCAAGTTTGAAATTTGTCATTGTGGAAAAGGCAGGCAGAGTTTTGCTGACTTAAGAGTAGAAATCAGTTTAACCCATGAATACCTGAATATATTCTAGGTTATTTAAAAGAGGTGGCTTCTTCATCCCGAAGTCATGAGGTATCAATGTGTAGAAACGATTGGAGAGATCCAGTATCTGAGAATCAGTGCCGCCACCAGAAACTGCCTAAAAGAAAAGCAAACAAGAGAAGAGGTAAATGGAGGAAGACCTGAATTCTGGGAAAGATCTCTGCAGCAACAGACAGGCTCAAGCTGCTTGTCAAGAGAAGCTTACAGTGACAAGCTTCACCACACTAACTGCAATGCTGCAGCTCACCTACATAACTAAAGGAAGGATTCTGCTCAATAGTTTTTAGTGCACTTGTACCAAAAATCATAATAGAAATACTGTACAACACTTTTCTAGTGAAGAGTATCTAATAAAAAATAACTGTTGAAAAAGAAGCTTTCAGCACATTAGGAAATGAAGTGCAACAGACTTAAAGAATCTGTGCATTTGCTGAGAGAGGAGTTGAAATCATTATGTTGCAACAAGGTGCCAACTAGTGAATCTCAGAATAGTCTAAAATTTAGACTCTAAATTATAAGCAATAGTACCTTACAATACTCTGAGGTGAGTGTTTCTAGATGTACATTAAGCAAGCACACTCCATGCTCCAGCTTAATCTTTGGTCCTCTTTTGAAGTGTAGTGAAGACAAGTGCTTCCAAGACCAAATCTATTCATTAACTTCTAGGGGTTCAGAAGTAGCATATCTTCTAAAGCACACCAGGAGTTAAGTCAGCTGATTTCAAGCCCAAAACGATATCCAACTTCCCAGTGTTTTTGTGAGGTCTGTTTTATACTCACCTGCTGAACATCATTAAGGATGGAATATGCACTCTGGATCTGTCTCTTGCTCAGCTTTCCCAATGGCATCTTCTGGAGGTCAATCTAACAAAGATTTATTTAAATAATTAAAGCCACCACAATGAAACCTCCATAGTTCCTCCTCTTTGGCCACCAAAAAGCTCTCCCCCCACAGGCAGGATGTATAATAAAAAATGCAAACCTATCAGGTTTGGCTTTTAACAGCAGGGATTGTAGGATGAAGTTGAAGAGAGAGCAATGCAAACACAGTACTGACAAGATATCCCCTAATGCAGATCCTCTTGAAGAGCCAGAGTTTGGGGATTTGAGTCTTTGAGTAAATTTTCTCATGCATCAGGCTTCTAATAATGGGGCTCTGCAACAAACTCCACTTCAATGGAATGTTTTACAAGGGATTATAAATATTCACTAAGGACATAAATTGTGCTCACTGGACAACCCTTAGCTCTTCAGGTCAAAACAGCATTGATTTAAATGGGCACCACAAATCCAAAGCCAGCAGACCTGAAGGGACTGCAGTAGAGCAGCTGGTTCTGAACATGATTCAAGGACACAATCTCCTACAAAACTATATGCATTATTTCTGTCTTATGGGCAAAAAACAAAGGGAAGACCCTTCACTTGAATCATTTAAAATAAGCATTACCAGGTAACGATAGCCCAGCTTTTCCAATATATAGGAAGCAAAATAGCCTAGATTTCTCCAATACACAGGAAGCAAAAAAATCAGCTGTAAAACTGATTTTATGATGCAAAGGAACCACTGCACAGCAACATGTATTAAGCCAGTGGTTCCCAACACAGTGCCTGCAGGTGCCATCACACCCCCTGAGGTTTATTTAGGTGTTCACGAGCATTTTCATGATTGGTAAAAAACATTATTCCAACAAAAAAATGCTGTCATATTGGCGCCCGCTGCTTTTTCTTTTAAATTCAAATGTGCTCTTGGGTGCACAAACGCTGGGAACCCCTGTATTAAGCAAGCACTGGATAAGGCTGGAAAAAATGTTGGAAGCAGAAGCCATAACCCAGGTCTCATTCCTTCCCAGGAGCATGCTCCCCTCATCACTGAGCTAGGGTTGGGCTCCATCTTGCATATTCTCCTTCTGTCCCCAAGGACTTGCTGTCTTCTTTACCCAGTGGCCCAGCTTTACCCAGAGGAGTGGAGGATGCACTCAGCTCTGCATAAGCTCAACCTTGCAATTAGGAGATTTTCCTAATGGAAGATACGGGTTCAAACTCCTTATGGCGCAGTGGAGCTTAGAATCCAAGTCTCCCATACTTTGGCCAATGTACATGGGCTTCTCTCTTTACCACTATACCAGTTCTCAAAATTGCTTTGGAGATTCTTTGGAGAGGTGCCTCAGGAATTGAGAGGAAGTGAACAAGAAATGAGGGGTTAAGTAAATAAGAACAGGCTCAGGCCCCAAATATGGGGAAATAAGGGCAGGCTTCATATCTTGCTCTCCCTAACTGGTCCCTTTGCAAGGAGGTAAACACTGTAATAAATGCATTTGTTTTTGAAGCAGAGTGCTGCCCAATTCATGACAGTTACAGAGGGGTACCTTGAGCCTAAAAAGTTTGAGAACAACTGCATCATATACTGAAGCCAGTCAGTTAGATGCACTGGTGCATACCGATGCCTCCTCTCTATATGAGATGGATCCAAAAGGAAGATCTTGTCTGAGGGAGCTGGACTGAGCTAGATCCCAAGATGACAGAAACACATAATGCTCTGTGCCTTTCCAGTGGAATGACCACTGAAATCACATAAGATTGTCCAATGGGAGAGTTACACATCTCCACAGGGCAGAACAGCACCAGCCTCTGGGGGTGCACTAGACTGACCACTGACAGAATGGGAAGAACTAAATGTCTTCCTGGGTGATGGAAAATTACATCTCTCACAGGCTAGTGGTAGCAGTGATTCAGAGCAGCATTTTTCAACTTGTGGGTCAACAAGACTATATGAAAGGGTCACAAACACACTTAAAAAATGCATCAACATACTTTAAAAATAGATTCTCCTTTAAAAGGATAAAAGCATGGGAAAACGTGGCTTTTCCCTTGCAGGCTGACAGAGTTCCAGCCTGTGAGAGGCTGCTTAGGACCCCCCACACCCTATACCACCCCCCTCGCCCCACACACTGGGGGCTGGTACCTGTGGGCGGCGGGGGGGGGGCAGCAGGTCATGAGTGAGGGGCACTGGGTCAGGACTGGCCACTGATGTTTAAAAATGGGTCCTGCTACAAAAAAGTTTGAGAAGCACTGATTTAGAGGCCATAAAAGTGAAATACAATCTGGGCTATGATGTTCAGCAAGAAAGATGAAAGGAAGCAGAAGACCTTAATATGTACACCTACCTCAAATTCCACCATGGCTTTCTTCATGCTCTCCACATCAAAGATCATCTTGATAAGGTCCTGGACTGATTTAGGAAGCTTTGACTTTGTGCCGGCACCTACTGTCAGTTTCTTCACAGCTTCTTCATCCTAGAAAGACAATACCCAAACTCAGAAGTGTAACAACATGGCCTGACACCCAGGGGAGCTATCCACACAGGGACAGCTCCAACTTCTGATTGCTTGATTTGGTATCAGCACAAGCTAAATCTAGTGGAACAGATTTTTCATCTCCCTACTTGTATTGCTGTGCTATCTGTAATAACATTAAGCGTACATTTCGAATGTACAAGTAAACCCTGCTTAGCGCTCTTAATTGGTTCCTGAAAGACCAAGCATTAAGTGAAATGAGCACTAAGCAAAACTGAAAATTTTTGACAACCCGAGATGGCAACTGCAGTGTTTTAAGTGACCCATGACGGTGACCGTGAGCGTTATAACCAGGGATCCAGGTTTTCCATTTCCCATGGAAGAATGGAGTAAACTGTGGATTTTACCTTTTACCACAGGCAAACACAGATTTCTTGTTTTACAAGAGAAACCCATGGATTTTGTGATTTTGCATTGAGTTCCCTGCAAGCTGACAGAGTTCCAGCCTGCAGGGAGCTGGAGGAAGGTGGAGACACAGGGAGCACCACGTGCATGGACACGCATGTGGCCCCAGGCAGCCTGCAGAACAGTTCCAGCAGGTAAGGTCGGGGGAAAAGAGGGAGCAGGGGAGGGCTGAGGCTGCTGCCCAGCTAGGTGGGGGTTAAGGCCTGGGGCCACAATGTGCAGCTCCAGGGCCCCAGTGGGGAGCAGGATGGGGCCGTGGGTGGCTCATCTAGGGGAGGGAGAGGGCCAGTTCCCTGCTGCCACGCACACTC